CCACACAAAGGTGCAGGTCTGACAATTCTGCTCACCCTTGGGACCCTGGCCCTAGAGAAAGATGAGAACTGGCCACCCAATTTACACCTTGGAAGTAAGCCTAGGGGAAGAGTCAATTTAAGGAGAGGCTGCATGGCAGAAAAAAAAGCCACTGAAGTTAAATTTTAAAAACTGGGTTTTAATTTAGTCCTAGTTCTGTTATTTAGATGATTTGACTCCCAGCAAGCCACTTACCCTCTCTGAATCTTGGTTCTCACATGTAAACTACAGAACCATCTGTGGACCTCAGACTGTGTAGGGGAGAAAACAGTGGTGAATGGAACAGCAGTTTTTAAAGATGCATCCACCTATGAAGCATTATTTCACTAACGGCTGAAAGACCACACCTTGGGTGTCCAGGTACAGAACTTTTCGAGTATTATTTGATTCACTATGCAACATGCATATGTTCTTACTTCCAAAAAGTCATATAGTAACAAATCATTGTTATGTTGCATATAACACACACACACACAAATATAAAACCATTGAAGTGATTTGTGTTATCTATGATCATGTATATGTAAATATCAGTTTTTTGGTTTTTGTTTTTTTGAGATGGAGTCTTGCTCTTTTGCCCAGGCTGGAGCGCAGTGGTGCAATCTCGGCTCACTGCAACCTCCGCCTCCTGAGTTGAAGCGATTCTCCTGCCTCAGCCTCTTGAGTAGCTGGGATTACAGGTGCCGACCACCACACCAGGCTAAATTTTTGTATTTTTAGTAGAAACAGGGTTTCACCATATTGGCCAGGCTGGTCTTGAACTCCTAACCTCAAGTGACCCACCCACCTCGGACTCCCAAAGTGCTGGGATTACAGGCATAATTATCATGCCCAGCTGGTATTTCATTTAATTTGATTTATTCTAGACATAAGTTGAAACAAACTTTATGGCACCAGAAATGGCACAAGGAAAAGGCACAGGAGATGACATTGACTCTAAGGCACAAGGCAGCAAGGTGGAAAGGCGAACTCCTAACCTCAAAAGTATTTTCCCACCTCGGACTCCCAAAGTGCTGGGATTACAGGCATGAGCAATGTGCCCAGCTGGTATTTCACATTTAATTTGATTTATTCTAGACATAAGTTGAAACAAACTTTATGGCACCAAGTAGCTAAGGAAAAGCACAAGGAGATGACATTGACTCTAAAGGCACAGAAGCAGCAAGGTGGGATGACATTGACTCTAAAGGCACAGAAGCAGCAAGGTGGGAAGGAACATCAGCCAGGGTGCTGACTCCTGTGACTCTCACAATTTAATTGAGGAAATGACAACTTAGCCAGAAACAATAGAGAACAAAATAAGGCAATAAAACCAATCAGCCTGGGGCAGACTGTGTGGTCTAAGGATAAGGGCTTTCAAGAGAGGTTTCCAGAAGGAAAATAGCATCACTAGTAGGGTTATCAGGAAAAGCTTCATGGAGGTGGCCAATGAAGGGGACTATGAGGGATGAAGAGAGTTTGAATGCTTGGAAGGGACAGGCCAAGTAAAAACACACAGCAGGAATAAAGACAGCAGCTTGAATAACATGGAGATTTGTATTGGAGCAAAAGAGCTCACTGTTCGCTGCCGCTGAGCCCTCAGGGAGAGCTGGCGAGGCTGCCAAGAGCCAGAGGAGAGGCGACTGCACTCAAAAGCCACGTAGTCCGAGAACCTGGGCAGCGCTGACAGTCTGCGGCCATTAATTGCAGGCGTGCAGCGTCCTGTGTAAAGCAGGTGGCGGGGCAGTATGCAGGGTCAGGGCGGAACTTTGCCCTGGCCTGCTCTGCCCACACTCCACTCTCAAATCTTCCTCCCACCCTTCCCAACACACTCCACATTTATTCTGCACCAACCATGCGAGGAGCTGGGCACTGCAGAAAAACAGCAGCCGTCTCCTTGGGGAATTAGATACAAAAATAGGGAAGACAGAAACAGCTAAGCACCAAATAAGCAACACTGACATTACCACCAAGGGAAGGAGAGATGGTAGAGAAGGAAGGGCTAGCATGGCTGGTTGGGAAAGGTTCCTCAGATGAGATGGTGCTTGGCCAAGCCTTGAGGGAAAATTAAGATTCACAAAGCTGGGAGCAAAAAAGGGGTATTAAAGAGAGGTGTCAATCAAGACAAGAAGGTATGAATACGAATGCACAACTTCCCTTTGCAGCTCGTTTACTCACTGTAGTCTGATGCTGCAGAAGGTTTGTGTGGACAGGCAATGTGAGGGTCAGTACAGAAAGTGAGTGAAACTGAACTCTGCAGAATCTCAATCCCAGGTACTTGATTCTCTTGACCAAGGTTTCGAACTCTGTGGTCCAACGATGAGCTTCAAGTTTTGGCCCATGAACACCCAATAAGAAAATTGCGAATATTTTTTCATATAAGCATTTCAATCTGGGAGACTTTAAGTGGCTTTCAGATTCTCAAAAGGGTTTATGACCTAAAGAGTTGAAAATGATTAATGCAGCAAACTGGCAGAGTGGTCTGTGTGGGGAGGGGAGAAGGGGTTGGGATTACATAAGTCGAGTCCAGTCCCCTCCCCTGAGACCGGCTGTTCTTAACTATGCACCAGATAGTCATTAACAAACAGATGCCATTCCTCTCTTTAGTGGCTTCTTGTTCAATAAGTACTTGACGGGGTTACTGGTAGATTACAAAAGTAGCTCATCAGGGAAAGTAGAAAGGAAACCAGCACAGGGGGAACAGAGGAGAGAACCCAGGAAAAGGAATAGTCGGTAAGAAGATTTGATAAATTAAAATGCCAGAGAAGCCAAAGAAGAAAAAGTCCTGGGAAAGACAAAGTGGTTACAGGTGTCAAGCACAAATACGGGATGGGGGGCAAAAAAATCTCAAAATTCAGTGACCCTCAATGCTGTGGGGTGATGAGAGGCCAGAGGCTAGAGATACGGGGTCCAAACTAGGACACTCAGAGAGCGAAAGGAAGTACCACTGATAATTACGGTGAATGACAGGCATAAACCAGGACCGTCCTGGGCCAATACATAGGTAGCTACCTAGTTGAGGAGGAAATGAGTAGCACAGACGGGAAGGCAGCAGATACTGTCTATTAACTCAAATAGTTTAGCTGCAAAAAGAAAACTAGGGCATTAGTCAGAAAAGTCAGTAGGGAAAAGAAAAGGCTTTACCATGTATTGATTTGGGAGGCAGGAGGACTTCCGGAGGTTTTGAAGAAGGGGGTTGGGTGCGGTGGCTCATGCCAGTAATCCAGGCACTTTGGGAGGCCGAGGTGGGCAGATCACTTGAGCCCAGGTGTAAGACACCAGCCTGGGAAACACAGCGAAATTCCTTCTCTACAAAAAAAATTTTTAAAAATTAGCTGAGTGTAGTGGTGAGCACCTGTAGCCCTAGCTACTCGGAGTGGGCCACTGTACTCCAGCCTGGGTGACAGAGCAAGACGCTGTCTCAAAAAAGAAAAAAAAAAAGAGCAGCGGGAGGGAAAAAGGGAAAAGGAAAGGGGCGCAAAGGGCTGACAGCATTGTACATTCTCCATCCCACAGAACATCATGAGGCACAGCAGCTCCTCCAATACTGCTGCAGGCATGCTGACTGTGGCACTCTGGTTCCTCGGAACCAGGAAAGGACGGAATAGCAAGAGTAGCGAGAGACATTTCCTCCTTTGAAACTGTAAGAAAAAATAAACAGCTTCTGAAAAGAAAAGGCAGACCGCAGTATCTGATTTCAACCTAGTGAGCATCGGCGATCTGGCTGTGAGGAAAGGATGCATTTCCAAACTAGCTTTCACTATGGCTTTCTCGTCCCTTTTCAAGGGAGAAGATATTAAGAAAATAAAGCAAACTCTTAGATGTTCATTAAAGTTAAATCCTGGGTGGGCGCAGTGGCTCACGCCTGTAATCCCAGCAATTTGGGAGGCCAAGGCAGGTGGATCACTTGAGGAGTTAGAGACCAGCCTGACCAACATGGCAAAGCCCCATCTCTACTAAAGATACAAAAATTAGCCGGGCATGGTAGCATGCGCCTGTAGTCCCAGCTACTTGGGAGGCTGAGGCAGGAGAATCGCTTGAACCCGGGAGGTGGAGGTTGTAGTGAGCCGAGATTGCACCAGCGCACTCCAGCCTGGGCAACAGAGTGAGACTCCATCTCAAAAAAAAAAAAAAAAAAAAAAAAGTTAAATCCTGTGCAGATTGGCAGAACTAGAATAAGGGAATATATCCTTATTTCATGTTGTCCAGTGCTGAGCATTTATTTGTAATTTCATTTTAGGCAGGGCCCAGTGCCTCATGCCTGTTATCCCAGCACTTGGGGAGGCCAAGGTGGGAGGATCGCTTCAGCCCAGGAGTTCGAGCCCAGCCAGGTAACAGTGAGACTTCATCTCTACAGAAAATAAAAAGACTAAAAATAATTAGCCGGGCATGGTGGCGCACGGTCAGCTACTTGGGAGGCTAGTCCCAGCTCCTTGGGAGCTGAGGCAGGAGGATCACTTTTGACTCCAGGAGGTCGAGGCTGCAGTGAGCCATGATCATGCCACTGCACTCCAGCCTGGGTGACAGAGCGAGACTCTTGTCTCAAAAAAAAAAAAAAAAAAAGGCTGTATTTCAATACAGCTTGGGGAAACAGTCACCAATCTAAGGTTCAACTGGGTAAGAAAACACTGGCTGGCGTGGGGACACAAAGATGAGACCACACCCACAGTGCAGCTGGAAAGGAAACTCTGAACCAAACGCCAGTCAAGAGGTTCAATGAGAAAACAGACGGCCCTTAACTTACAACCGGGCAATTCATCCAAACGGAGCACAGTCTTCCACAGTAGGAAAGGGCAAGTTTTCACAGAACAGATGGAAATGAAGCCACCCCAGCACCTCGGGTGAAGGAGCAGGTAACCCAGCGATGCTGTGGGTTGGCGTGGGCTCACCCGGGAGCGCTCAGTATCAGGAAACATCAGGACACTGATCACATTCTAAATCTCAGCAGTCATGGCATATACATTTAAATACCGAAACGGAGGTTCATTATAAAAGTCAGTTTATTTCCCCTTTCTGTGTTTTGTATTTTCCCTTTTTGTCAGTAAATGAGCAATACACTGATTGGAAATCTGCATGATTAAATAATATTAACAAGTTCATAAACACACCCCATATCAGAGTATAAAGCAAGAGGTTGAAAAATATTCCCTAACCCAATGCAAATTAGGTGTTCCTCAAAATTGCACATTCTCCTCCTAGCTTGCTTGTATAATTTAAAACATATACATATACAGAATGATCTTAAAATATTGATAACTAGTATGGAATTCACAGCCCTGAAGATATATACTCTACATTTTTCTAAAGAACGGATACCCCTCAGGCCCTAGTAATCCACTCACGTGATTCAATGTCACATACAGTCAGTCCTCGGCTTCTGATTTTTGGACTTTACAATGGTGCGAAACGGTTGCAATTTCGACATAATGTACAGTATTCAATAAATTACATGATATATTCAACACTTGATTATAAAACAGAGTTTGTGTTAGATGATTCTACCCAACTGTGGGCAATTCTAAGTGTTCTGAGTACATTTAGGGTGGGCGAGGCTAAGCTGTGGCGTTCGGTAGGTCACGGGTATTAGATGCATTTGGCTTCCAATGGGTTTACTGGGAGGTAACCATCGTAAGTCAAAGAGCATTCGTACTTGACACTTACTAGAACAAAAGGTCTTTCCCTTTTCTCTAATTCTAGTCCTCAGCTGAGGTAACTCCAGGAACCCGGTTGTGCCACAGATCAATCCTCTAAAAACAGACTAAGCAGATTAGCTTCCTAGAGGATCCTAAAGTCCCCAGACAACAGATCTGGGGTGGAGTTGCTTCGGCTGCGAGTTACACGTCGGAATGTTCGAGATAACTGATGTACCTTATGGTCCTTGAAAGGAAGACTAAATACTTCCAGGAGCCAAAGTTCATTTGAATGAAGATGGAGAACAGTTGACAATAATTTGAAGATATTCATGCTTCTAGGGCTGAATGACTTTTGGATCAGACACAGAGTGACTGAGCCATTCAACGGGCATGTAGTGTGATCTTTCCCACCACAGGGAACAGAGGGATTCTTTGTCCAAGGCAGGCTGGCAGCTCGGTCCAGCTTGAGCATTTGATCAGGATTTGATGCTTCAAAGATGAGCCACTCTCTATAAACTCATTACCAAAGCAAAAAGCAATGATCTCTTCCATTTGTGGAACACATCACCAACACAAACCACGCGTGGCTTTGCCTCCTACTCACTCCATTTCTGAGGCTAGAGAAAGTTCAAGTCCAAAACAACAGTTAAGGTTAAAATGCTAAACCTCAACAGGCCACACAAAGATGCTGGCAGAGTCAGAGGTCACTCGGCACATTCATGAAACAACAAAAATCATCAACAATAATTCCTGTAGTGTACAAAACTCACGCAGCCTTCACCGCTGGTCAGCATCTCAGGTGGCTGGCAGTGTTGAGAGAGCCCTGACAATCCAAGGTCAGGCTGGTGCTCCTAGACAAACCCAAATTAGGGCAGATTCGAAGCCCCAACGGTCCTGATGTGGCTGACGTTGTTCTTTCTGTCTCACAGACACCAGTCACTCCCTCAGTATGTGAGCCTGTCTCCTTCGCAAGAGAGAGAATATTTCCCTCACTATTAATGGCGAGATAAACACAATTGTACAACTTGTCTGTGAAGAGAAAATAGGATTAAAAATGCAACAACAATTTACTTCTGTTAGAGCGTCATGTTTTGAACATAACAATGGATTTGTACAATTACATTCATTTTGACTTCATACAAAGGTAACGTTTAATCGTCAATGAATTAGAAAATGATTTTGAAAAGTATGGCTAATATTACAAAATACTTAACATCACATTTCAGTTGCCAAAAAAAAGAACACCACATATACATAATTTGCCATAGGCAGAGCAGAGAACTGAGACCAGAGGCTCAGATTAAAACGATGATCCTTATAACAAAGTTTTCTTTCTACTACAATTCCTAGTATGATCACATCAGAAAGTTCATCACAAGATACTTCCCTCTACTTAGCATGGATGTCAGAAATGGAACACAAGTTATATGGCCCAGTCTTTGGAAGCTAGATGCGAATTAGATGAAAGCTCCAAGGTATTCCTGGAACTGGACTATCCCGGGAATCCTTGACCACAGCAAGAGGACAGCTGCCTGGAGTAGGGGTGGTGGAGGCTGCCTTCAACCCCAGTGCCCTGGATTTGAGGACAGGATACTGAATGCGTCCCTGGTGCCTTCCACACTCTCAGGTAGACCTGTCTTGAGCACTGTCCCACCAATAATGTGCCTCAGTATGTCACAGCTCATAACAGAGAGCAACATTTTAAAAGCACAAAGCCTCAGGAGTTTGAGACCAGCCTGGGCAACATGGTGAAACCCCCTCTAGGAAAAATTCAAAAAGTTACCTAGGCGTGGTGGCACACACCTACAGTCCCAGCTAATCAGGAGGCTGAAGTGGGAGGACCACCTGAGCCCAGGATCACCTCAGCCCAGGAGGTCAAGGCTGTAGTGAGCTGTGATTGTGCCACTGCACTCCAGCCTGGGTGACAGAATGAGACCCTGTCTCAAAAAAAAAATTAAAAAAATAAACAACGACTTATTCTTTATTGGCTATTTCCAAGAAAGCAGAGAATCCCAGCCAAGAATGTCTAGGGCATCATAAATATTTCCTCAAGAAACTACCACCGTTTTAGAACCGGGAAACATGACAGTGTTAATTACAGCAATGCTTCTCTTTTAACTCAGTGTTGCTTGGTGTACATTGTAATTTACTTCAGAATTCCTAAATTATATTCAGCAGATAGAGAGTAGCCTAGAAGAGTATACTGATTAGGGGCTGGTGATACTTTAAATAAGTCTCTTCTTGTTTTTCTGAAGTCATAAATGGCAATATTCATTAGACTCAGGTCAAGAGCAAACTGAGAGCCTTTTTCTTCCTTAAAAAGAAGAATGTGAGGTCAGGCGCAGTGGCTCATGCCTGTAATCCCAGCACTTTGGGAGGCCGAGTCGGGTGGATCCCCTGAGGTCGTCAGAAGTTCAAGACCAGCCTGGCCAATATGTGAAGCACTGTCTCTACTAAACATACAAAAATTAGCCGGGCGTGGTGGCAGGTGCCTGTAATCCCAGCTATTCGGGAGGCTGAGGTGGGAGAATCACTTGACCCGGGAGGCAGAGGCTGCAGTGAGCCGAGATCATGCCACCACACTTTAGCCTGGGCAACAGAGCGAGACTGCCTCAAAAAAAAAAGAAGAAGAAGAAAGAAGAAGAAAGAAGAAAGAAGAAGAAAGAAGAAGAAAGAAGAAGAAAGAAGAAGGAAGAAGGAAGAGGAAGAGGAAGAGGAAGAGGAAGAGGAAGAAGAAGAAGAAGAAGAAGAAGAAGAAGAAGAAGAAGAAGAAGGTGTCTTTTAGAGTAATAAAATGTTACTTTTCACAAAGGAGCCTTTAAAAGCAATCAGCAATTCTGCTGAAGAAGTGACTTAAGTAAATGGTTTGAACTTAATTAATAGAAAAATGACTTTTTTTTTTAAAGGAGCACCTACTTACCATGAGAATGAAAAAGTAGAAAACCCACATCCATCCTAGCTTGTCCCGGATCAGAGACACTAAATACTAAAAGGGAGAAAAAAAAAATTACAATATAATTCTTTATAAATTTATAAAAGGAAGCAGCTAAAAAGTAGACTAAACATGGCTATTTTAGAAAATAAGAAGGGGACACAGGATTTGTATGTTTTGCAGTTTACAGAGCTCTTCCACATACATGTGCCTGCTGTGATTAATGGCCCATTTAAGCATGCAGAGTCTAAATGGAAAAACCATATAGTAGAAGTTGTCAGTTCAGAAGGTTTATTTATTTATTTATTTATTGGTTATTTTTTGGGACGGAGTCTTGCTCTGTTGCCCAGGCTGGAGTGCAGTGGCGCAATCTCGGCTCACTGCAAGCTCCGCCTCCCGGGTTCACACCATTCTCCTGCCTCAGTCTCCCGCGTAGCTGGGACTACAGGCGCCTGCCACCACACCCGGCTAACTTTTTGTATTTTTAGTAGAGACGGTGTTTCACTCTGTTAGCCAGGATGGTCTCGATCTCCTGACCTTGTGACCTGCCCGCCTCAGCCTCCCAAAGTGCTGGGATTACAGGCGTGAGCCACCGCACCCGGCCCAGAAGGTTTATTTTATTCACTTTGCTATTTAGAGAGGAAGATGAACATCCACAAGCTACTCCCACTTAATCATTCTTTCTTCCAATGAAAGGTACTATAACTGATGCCTCAAAAAGAGTTTGTCTTTAAGCATGCCACTCATTTTCCAATCATGCTGTTTGCTCACAGTGTTGCTGTACTACCTTTGCATCCTACAGCATATCCGTTTACTTTTTCAATTACTGAAAAGGATCTAATTGCACTTATTTAACCCATTTTCTTTTTTTCTCTTACTATGGTAAGATATAACTTACATAAAATTCGCCATTTTAATCTTTTTTTCTTTTTTTTCCAAGATGGAGTCTCCCTCTGTTGCCCAGGCTGGAGTGCAGTGGCGCGATTTTGGCTCACTGCAAGGTCTGCCTCCCAGGTTCACGCCGTTCTCCTGCCTCAGCCTCCCAAGTAGCTGGGACTACAGGTACCTGCCACCACGCCCGGCTAATTTTTTGTATTTTTAGTAGAGACAGGTGTTAGCCAAGGATGGTCTGGATCTCCTGACCTCGTGATCCACCCACCTTGGGCTCCCAAAGTGCTGGGATTACAGGCGTAAGTCACTGCGCCCGGCCCATTTTAAACATTTTTAAGTGTGCAATCCAGTGGTATCAGTTACATTCATAATGTTGTACAACCATCACCACTATCTATTTCCAAACTTTTTCATCATCCAAATAGAAACTCTGTTCCTAATAAGAAATTAACTGCCCATCTCCCCAGCTCCTGCTAACCTCTTCTTTCTGGTTCCATGAATTGGCCTATGCTAGATATTTCATGTAAATGGAATCACAGTATTTGTCCTTTTATGTCTGGAATGTTTAGCATAATGCTTTCAGGGTAGACTACATTGGAACTTCACTCCTTTTGTTTTGGAGATGGGGTCTCGCTCTGTCGCCTAGACTGGAGTGCAGCCGGCAATCTCTGCTCACTGTAACCTCCGTCTCCCAAGTTCCACCAATTCTCCTGCCTCAGCCTCCCAAGTAGCTGGGATTACAGGCATGAGCCAGCATACTCAGCTAATTTTTGTATCTTTAGTAGAGATGAGGTTTTACCACGTTGCCCAGGCTGGTCTGGAACTCCTGACCTCAGGTGATTCACCCACCTCAGCCTCCCAAAGTGCTGGGATTGTAAGCGTGAGCCACTGCACCTTCCCCCCTCCCCTTTTTTTTTTGAAATGGAGTTTTGCTCTGTCACCCAGGCTGAAGTACAATGGTGCGATCTCAGCTCACTGCAACCTCCTCCTCCCAGGTTCAAGTAATTGTCCTGCCTCAGCCTCCCAAGTAGCTGAGGTGCCACCACACCCAGCTAATTTTTGTATTTTTAGTAGAGACAAGGTTTCACCACCAGGCTGGTCTCAAACTCCTAATCTCAGGTGATCCACCTGCCTCGGCCTCCCAGAGTGCTGGGATTAAAAGGGACAGGGTCCTTCTCTGTTGCCCAGGCTGTAGTGTAATGGTATGATCACAGCTCACTGTAACCTCCCTTCATTTCTTTTTAATGGCTCATTAGTATTCCATTGTATGGATATACCACATTTTGTTTCTCCATTCATCTGCTGATGGACCCGAGTTGTTTCTACCTTTTGGCTACCACTGCAATAAATGTTGACATACAAATATCTGAGACCCAGTTTTCTTTTTTTTCTTTGTTTGAGACAGAGTCTTCCTGTCACCCAGGCTGGAATGCGGTGGTGCAATCTTGGCTCACTGCAGCCTCCGCCTCCCAGGTTCAAGTAATTCCCCTGCCTTAGCCTCCCAAGTAGCTGGGATTACAGGTACCTGCCACCACATCCAGTTAATTTTTGTATTTTTAGTAGAGATGGGGTTTCACCATGTTGGCCAGGCTGGTCTCAAACTCCTGACCTCAAGTGATCTGCCCACCTCGGCCTCCCAAAGTGTTGCGATTACAGGCGTCAGCCATGGTGCCCGGCCCCCAGTTTTCAATCTTTTGGGAAATACCTAGGAGTGGAATTGCTGGGTCATATGGTAATTCTATTTAAATTTTTTTGAAGAAGCACCGAAGTATTTTTCACAGAAGCTGCATCATTTTGCAGTCCCACCAGCAATGCAGGGTTTCAATTTCTGTACATCCTCACCAACACCAGTCACCTTTCCTGGTTTTTAATTACAGTCATCACAGTAAGTATGAAGTCACAGCTCACTGTGTTTTTGATTTGCATTTTCCTAATGACTAAGGATGCTGAGACTTTTCATGTGCTTATTGGTCATTTGTACATATTTGTCATGAAGATTCGTCCCTATGTTTTCTTCTATGAGTTTTACAATTTTAAGTTCTTACAGTTAGGCCTTTAATTCATTTTGAGGTAATCTCTGCATATGAGGTAAGGTAAGAGTCCAACCTCATTCTTTTTTTTTTTCTTTCCTCCCCCACTCCTCAGCTCCAACTTCATTCTTTTCATGTGGATATCCAGTTTTCCCAATACTGTTTATTGAGAGACCATCCTTTCTCCATTGAATGGTCCTGGCACCCTTGTCAAAAATCAGTTTGGCCACAGGCACAAAAGGATAACATTCTTTGATCACATTATTACTGAAATGTACATGTGAAAAAAATTAAGGCAGAATGACTATGTGATTTATATTAGATCACATCATGTGAAGCAAAAAAGAGGTCTAATCATCCACTAAAGGAAGCACAGGGTGCTCCAAACTCTGACTGCAACTTTGTGTTTTTTTTTTTTTTTTAAGACAGGGTCTTGGCCTGGCAAGGTGGCTCATGCCTGTAATCCTAGCACTTTGAGAGGCCGAGGCAGGAAGATCACTTCAGTCTGGGAGTTTGAGACCAGTCTGGGCACTGTGGTGAAACCCTATCTCTACAAAAAAAAAAATACAAAAATTAGCTGGGCATGGTGATGCGTACCTGCAGTCCAATCTACTTGGGAGGCTGAGGTGGGACAATCGCTTGAGTCCCAGAAGGCAGAGGTTGCAGTGAGCCAAGATCCTACCACTGCACTCCAGCCTGGGCGACAGAGTCAGATCCTATCTCCAAAAAAAAAAAAAAGAGAGAGAGAGAGAGACAGGGTCTGGCTCTGTCACCCAGGCTGGAGTGGAGTGGTGTGATCATGGCTCACTGCAGCCTTGACTTCCCAGGCTTAAGCAATCCTCCCATCTCAGCCTCCTAAGTAGTTGGGACAGGCACATACCACCATGCCCAGCTCACTTTTTATTTTTTGTAGAGATGAGGGTCTCACTATGTTGCCTGGGCTGGTCTTGAACTCCTGGCCTCAAGCAATCCTCCTACCTTGGCCTCCCAAAGTACTGGGATTACCGGCATGAGCCACGACACCCAGCCTCATGTACAAGTTTTAATGTGGACATTCGTTCTCATTTCTCTCGGGCAGATACTGCAATTTAATTTTACTGAACCCCTAGTATGTGTCAAAAAAAGCACTAAGCATTGGGTATGCAAAGACGAAGGAAACAAGCACAGCACCTGTCATGGTGTAGCCCCTTTACACCACGACAGGTGCCTACTAGAGGACCGCATCAACTGCTATGGCAACCTGAAGGAGAAACAATTCTTTACTTGGGAAGTCAGGGAAAGATGGGGGCAACAAAGTTATTCAGGGTAAATTAGTACACTGGCTAAGGACAGGACTGATAGAGTTTAACGCTAAGTCACAGAGTTTGGGACTTCACCCCTTAGGCAATGGGAAATCATTCAAAACTCAACATGGAAGAGGAATGAGTAAAGCTAACAGTGACTTACTCCAGATATGCTTCCCCGACCATGAAGGTCAGTCTAGGACCCAAGTTCACAGTGAGGGATCTGGATACTGGCAGGTGAGGCAATCTAAATAAAAGCAAACTCTCTGAAATACTCATTATAATCCACCCATTTAGTTAGTGAAGAAAACATTCGAAATGAAGGATAACTTAAAATAATATAATGTCAGAAAAGGATGCCCAATGCAGTCACTCTCTACCCCAAAGAGGAAAATATCTGAACTGACAGCTGGGAGCATTTTTCAATTTCCACTCCAGAGCATGATCAGGTAAGCACATTTTTCAAGTCTTTGCTAAGGTTTTTATTTCTTTGGGTTTTTTTGCCCTTTAGTCTTATAATCAAATATGCTAAGCATATCAAGCATTCATTCCACAAGTAATGTCTACCGTGTGCCAGGCACTGTTCTCGGTACTAAGGTGACAGAAGAACATACAACAAAATGCCGCACTCAGGAAGCTTATGTTACAGTGGGAGGGACAGACATTAACAAGCACATATAGACTATTAAAATACGGCTAGGTAGTCAAAGTATTAACATGGCTTACTTTACCTCAATACGTGTCTCTCATTAACCACTAGCAATCAGACATCCGCAATTCACCCCCACCAAGCAAGTAACAATAATCGTCAAGGCTATTAATGACCTCCTAGATGTCAAAACTAAGAGCCTAAGAGACAAATCCTTCAGTTCTCCTTCTCCTGACCTCTCTACATCCATGACCTTACTAACGCCTTCTCAAACGCAGTTCCCTTGACTACAGGTCGCTCTGCTGCCTTCCTCCTCCTTTGACCACTGGGCATTCCCTGAGGCTCGGCCAACATTCTCGTTCCCCATTAAATGGTTCATTCACTTCCACAGGTTCAACTATTTTTATCTATACAGATGACTCTCAAATCCGTCTTTTAGCAAAATTAGTACTCTACAATCTGTAGTGGTATATCCTAGAAGAGGCATGACTCATTACTGTGCCAGAAAAGAAATATCTGTCCCAGAGAAAGCCTGAATTTATGCCAAAAAAAAAAAAAAAAGGTCAACGTAAATCGTTCTAAGTATAGTAGGCCAGTCTTAGTGTAGGGATCTCAAACATCCGAGTGCGGAAGAATCACTGAGAAGGCTTGTTGAAAATTCAGATCTGTAGGTTCTAACTCAGCGAGTCTGTAGTACGCTTGGTGTTCTGTACTTTAATGAGTGCCCCAGATGATTCTGATACCAGACACTTATGGGCCACTCTTTGAGATACAGTCAGAGATTTTTGGACACACAGAAGTAGAGCAAGTGATTCAGAAGCAGCTGCAGAGTCCATGGCCATGTCTGGTGGGGCCCAGGAAGGAACATGTATGCAGTAGAGTGTCTGGGAGAGGGAGACAGGAGACAGCAATGGTGGGGTCCACATGCCAGGTGGGGATAACAAGAAGCGCCCCTGGCCATGGAACACCAAATTCAGCCTGGAAAGAAAGAAGTGGGTGGTGGGCTGGGGCAGAAGGATCTACCTGTCTTATGAAGTCTTAGCTTATTTGCAGACAGGAAGAATCTAGAAGTATAAGTAGAAAAAAGGAACTAAAAAAAATGGAGAATCCTTCCACATTAGGAGGCATCAGCTGGTCCTGAGAGGAGACGGAAGTCCTTGGGCTCTCGGAACAGCGTTCTACAGCACAAGAGTGCCACCTACTGAGGCCCAGAGGGCAGGTTCATGTTCAGGCGCCTTTGAGGGAAGACATTAGAATCCCAGCCCCTCTCCTGTTCTCTCACCTGGCCCACGGCAGCTCCAATGCTCCCCGAACCATCAACAATTCCTGTGACAGTGGCCAAGGCCTCACTGCTCCCTTGGATGAGCTCCTGGCGACCCAAGTCCGCGGAAATAGCAGAACTAATCATATTAGAAGGTCCACCAATAAAAAATCCTGAAGTCACAAACAGAACAAGTTCTTATTAAAACACAATTCACAACCACTAGCAATCTACTGCATAAGGCAAAATAATATCCCAATAGTTTTCTTAATATGTTGGACAGACGTGGAAAAAAAAGGAAACCCCCAGATAGTATCATTTTCAAACTATTAATAGTTAACATCCACGTTCCTGAAATCTCTTCTTGAATTATGTGACACTCTAGTATATTTTAGTATACTAGATTTAGTATTTAGTATATATTTAGTATATATATAGTATATATATATATATATTTAGTATTTAGTATATATTTAGTATTCTAGTATATTTTAGTACACTCTAGTATATAGTAGAACCCAAAGATACAAAAATATAGTGAAACACATAGCCTGTCTAATCCTGTGAAGTTTACATTCATTAATAACAATTGCACTAGCTTGTCAAATAAATTCTATCATGGTAGAGTTGCATCATATGATCTTTCCACTACACAAATTCAACCAGGAATACTGAAAAAAAAGAGCAAAGAGGAAAAAGCCACTGAAATGGACCAGGTGACGCTATCTGCCACTGCTCTCAGTAAGGCTGCCCATGAATCAGGCATGGGATGGCCCAGGTGATTCTGTTCTCACTGCTGGAATCAGTTCCATGTACCCCAAGCAGAATAAGCAGCTCACTCTGCCAAGAACGATCTAAAGTTTAAAATAAGTAACTTTTCTGGCTGGGTGCAGTGGCTCATGCCTGTAATCTCAGCACTTTTGAGGGGCTGAGGTGGGCAGATAACCCGAAGTCAGGAGTTCGAGACCAGCCTGGGCAACATGGGGAAACCATGTCTCTACTAAAAATACAAAAATTAGCTGGGCGTGATGGCAGGTGCCTATATTACCAGCTACTCAGGAGGCTGAGGCAGAAGAATCGCTTGAACCCAGGAGGTGGAGGTTGCAGTGAGCTGAGACTGCACCACTACACTCCACCTGGGCAACAAAGCAAGATTCTGTCTCAATAAATAAATAATAAATAAAATAAGTAATTTTTCTATAACACAGTCCCTAAATGCACCCAACTATTCTATCTAGTGCTCAAGTGACAAAATGCTGACCGACTCCAACGCAGGAGGAGACACGAGCTACTGTGGATTTTTTGGAAAGCTCGTGAATTGGTTTCCCATGTGGCATCTTTCTAAGTCACTTCTAGAAACAAGAGCAGAAGCTGGGACAGTAATAAAAAATCTCAGAAAATCTGCCGGGTGCGGTGGCTCACACCTGTAATCCCAGCACTTTGGGAGGCCGAGGCAGGCAGATCACGAGGTCAGGAGATCGAGACCATCCTGGCTAACACAGTGAAACCCCATCTCTACTAAAAATACAAAAAATTAGCCAGGCGTGGTGGCGGGCGCCTGTGGTCCCAGCTACTCGGCAGGCTGAGGCAGGAGAATGGCATGAACCTGGGAGGTGGAGCTTGCAGTAAGCCGAGATCACACCACTGCACTACAGCCTGGGTGACAGAGCGAGACTCCATTTTAAAAAAAAAAAAAATCTTAAGAAAATTTCTGTCAATAGGGACTGCTTCTGTCACAATAGGACTGAGGAGGTGATGTAAGAAAGAGCAGAGAAAAAGAATCTGGAAAAGGAGACATCTTTCCTTCTAAAATCTGAATTCTCTGTAATTAAGGTTTTGGTACGACTCAAATTGAGGGAGAAAACAGTTTCCCTTTTCCTCTGAATTGACAGAGTAGCAGAAGCACGGTGGAGCAGAGCCATGGGCCGCACCTGTAACAGTCATCAGAAGGGCATTGATGGCCTTATCATTTGGAGAACCTGTGAGGGAAGACACAGACAAACCACGGTGACTTAAAAAGCGGACTCCACGTGCCTCTGCCAACAGTACGCAAAGATCTGAATCTCCGCGACCTCACAAATCACTCCCAGAGACAACAAAGAGACACAGCTCTCTCTGCCGCTTTCAACTCTGATTTGTAACGTCTGCCTCTTGCTGGTGCTCAAGCTAACGAGACTTCTAAAAGCTAAAGAAAAGCTCTACTCCTGTCTCAGCAGCATCTTAAGGGACATACACCAAACCTACTAATTACCGTCTTTCCGCTTTTGAAACCTGTTCCCTTTTTATTGTTTTATTGGCTATAATGCCATGCCTCTGGAGCCTCCCCCAAACAAAGCATATACACTCCCAAGCAAGCTTTTAAGCAAATTAACAAAGCAAAAGAGATGTCAGTTTCCTCCCAAGACAAATAAAACGATGTGATGACAGGTTTCCCAGGCATTCACAGCACAATGCAAAGGTGGCATATCAGGCCTTGAAGCTGGTCTCCAGGCTCTCCCTAGCACTGGTCACTGACTCCAGACAAAATGCCTTATTCCTACCAGATTAGGGAAGCAAAGGAATTCGTAATTGCAAAGGAATACTCACGACTATACCCGACAAGGGACCCAACCGCCAGAAGTAGACTCAGGGCAAGAACCGGCGCTCTCTTCTGTAGTACGTCAGAGATGAAGCCTTGCAAAGTTCCACCTTCAAGCACAGAGTGTCGAGCAATCAAAATCACTTCTAATTTAGCTCGCTCACCTGAGGTGTGCTCCCCATTGGCCCTCTAGTCTCACTGGCAGCAGCCTAACACTGGTCTATCAAAAAATGTGGCTGGGCCGGGCGCGGTGACTCACACCTGTAATCCCAGCAGTTTGGGAGGCCGAGGTGGGCAGATTACGAGGTCAGGAGATACAGACCATCCTGGCCAACATGGTGAAACCCCCTCTCTACTAAAAATACAAAAAAATTAGCTGGGCACGGTGGCGGGCACCTGTAGTCCCAGCTACTCGGGAGGCTGAGGCAGGAGAATGGTGTGAACCCGGGAGGCGGAGCTTGCCGTGAGCCGAGATCGCGCCACTGCACTCTAGCCTGGGTGACAGAGTGAGACTCCGTCTAAAAAAAAAATAATAATATGGCTGACTCCCTGAAAAGGGGTCCTCCATAACTTCCTTTTAGGAAGATAAACTGTCTGTTAAATCGCCATGATGACCAATGGGGACAGGCGACCACAAATCAGATAGCAAAACATGAAAAAAGGAAAAACGGTCAAAACCATCGGCTATCCCTTATAAAAACAAGCTGTGAATGCTATTTCTGATTTTTCTTTTTAATTTAAAAGATAATGAACTAAGAACTATGTCTCTCTGGGCATGGTGGCTCACACCTATAATCCCAGCACTTTGGGAGACCAAGGCCAGGGGACTGCTTGAGGCCAGGGGTTCAAACCAGCCTGGGCAACACCGTGCCCTTATCTCTATAAAAAATAAATTAGCCGGGCAAGGTAGCATGTGCCTATATTCCCAGCTACTTGGGAGGCTGAGGTAGGAGGATCGCTTGGGCCCAGGAGGTTGAGGCTGTGGTGAACCGTATCGTGCTGCTGAACCCAGGAGGCTGAGGCTACAGTGAGCTGTATTGTGCCACTGCACTCTAGCCTGGGCAACCGAGCAAGACTGTGTCTCAAAAAACAAAAAATTGTGTCTTACAGTATATTGAGGCCAGTAGGTGGACACAGTGGCTCACGCCTGTAATCCCAGCACTTTGGGAGACGGAGGTGGGCAAATTGCCTGAGCCCAGGAGTTTGAGACCAGCCTGGGCAACAAAGTGAAATGCCATCTCTACAAAAAATACAAAAAAAAATAGCTGGGTGTGGCGGTGCGTGACTGTAGCCCCAGGTACTCGGGGGGCTGAGGTGGGAGGATCGCTTGAGCCCAGGAGGTTGTGGCTGCAGTGAGCCAAGATCATGCCACTGCACTCCAGCATGGGCAACAGAGCAGTATCCCCATCTCCCAAAAAAAAAAAAAAAAAAAAAAAAAAATTGTGGCTAGTAAATATTCACTAAAATAAAATTTAGCAGTTATGGTTTGGTAATAGGACACAATCTTTAAAAAGCAGGGATATGAATCTTTCAAGCAACAATGTCACATACAGCACCATTCTGAGTTCTAGGGGCTACAGGACATCTGGTGTGTCCTTATTAGACAGGAGGCAGCTGGACAATTTCAACTTCAGAGGATACAGAAGTATGGTGAGGTCTAAAGGTTGCAACCTCACCTTTGGCTCTGGATTTAAGAATGCGGGCAGCCAAGTTCAAATACAGTAATAATAGATTGCCTAGCATAGACTGTGTGCTTTCACAAACTCATGGCAGTTGAGTCTCACCACAATTCTAAACGTTAACATTATTGAAGGTTATTAAGATCTGGCATAGCCATGTAAGTAATACCCACTAAAGTACATTCTGCTCCTCTGTCTTATTTCCTTGTTCATACTTATTACTTCCTTGTTGATACGTCCAGCTACCACAAAAAAACCACTATTAAAATCTTTGTTTACAATGAAACAACTGTAAAACATTCACAAAAGTTAATCCCTGCTGTTACGTCTACCTCTGTGATCTGACAACCTACATACTAAGGTGTGGTTCCCCTTTATCCTCAGCCGATATGTTCCATGACCCCCATGGATGCCTGAAACCACAGACAGTAGCAAACTCTATATATACTATGTTTTTTTCTATACATACATTCCCATGATCAAGTTTAATTTATAAGTTGGGCACAGAAATTAACAGTAACTAACAAAAATAGAAAACAATAACAATATACTGTAACATAAGTTATGTGAATGGTCTCTCTGAAAATATCTTATTGTACAGTATTAAGAGTAACTGAAACTTCGAAAAGTGAAACCACAGATAAGGGGGGACTGGTGTATTCTCCCTTATTAGGCTGGGGGAGGTGGGGAAAGCGGGAGGTAGACACAATGAACACGTTCACATTCTAACTTGGATCTCTGACATACAATTAGCTTTAGAGCTAAGATATCAGTGAGAAAGCCGTATGAAAGGATTGCATTTAAAGAGATTTCCATGTGCTTCCCAAGACAAAAGAACTGATCCATCAACAAAGGACTAAGAAAAAAGAGCCCAGTAAATCACAGCGCTGCCTTAGGCTGGGTCTTCCTTTCTACGGACCACTTGTTTTTTCCTTTTTTTTTTTAAGAGTTTGGCTGTTTACTAATAGGACAGTTTAGGGAAAATGGCTGTAGAATAAGTAATAAAACTTTAAATGAGGCCAGATTTCACAACCCAGTAAAAGATCACTAGTGACTAACTCTATTATGGAAAAGGCGCGTCACTGGCATACCTACGATCCCTCCAACGTCGTACCAAATGGACAGCTTGTCGGCTTCCGCCTCCTTCCAGCCGAAGTTGTTACTCAGATAAAAGGGGAGCCAGAAGAAGAAGGAGTAATTCACTAACTTCAAGCAGGCGTAGGCCAGTGAGTACTACAAGAAAAGCATTCAACTCTCAGTGAGGGACAAATAGCACAGCATGACCACCATTTTTAATGTCATTTAAAAGCAAAACAAAATAAAGGAATTTAGGATGAACAGAACCTGATTTTACAATTAAACATCTCTACAAACCCCCACATGCCTGACTTCAGCCAGTCTCCCTCTGCTCTTCATCCCTGTTAACTTCTAGACAGGCATGTACAGCGGGCCTTTGGAATAAAAAACACATATGGCTACTTCTTAGCTGTCTCCAGTTTCTCCTCCTATCAGTTCTCCGGCAGAAGCAAGCCGGTGCTTGGAACCTATAAGGCAGGGCACATGCCCACATTTCTTTATTCACACAAAGATGAATGGTATTCATGCCACTAACCAGCGTTAACCACAGGCAAAGAAGTCCAGGAAGCACCACGGCCTTTACTGGGAGCAGCCAAACGGGCTTGGTTATTCTACTGCTTGCCAAGGCAACACTATGAACAATGGAGAGCAAAGGGGCTACACTACAGTTCCAAGGTCTAAGAAGAGCAGCAGCATGATAATTCCTTTCACACTAGTTTCCAAAAGCTCCACATTCCCGGGTCCAGTGGCAAAGAAGAGAGTCTCTCTGGCGAGTCAAAAATGAAAGAACATGTCATCATCGTCCTTGTGACTCTCTCCTTTAGGGGAAAAAATGCTGCAGCTACATGAAGATGGTGGTGGGGCTGAGCCTCCTATATTCAACACATTACTACCAGGAAATCCTGACATTTAGCATCAAAGGAAAAAGGTGGGGGGGAACAGAGGGGCTGACTTCAAAGGGTGTCTGGCTAGTATATTCTTTTCCCTGGAGCTGCCAGTTATTCCCTAGGTATCACTTGTTTTAAAACAGCTTCCCTGGCAGGCAACAGCCACCCCCTAGAGGGCCAAATCCCAATCACGAGTGCATTCTGACCAGACAGCCTGCTACAAAGACAAAGGAATTAAGTTAACTAGATTTCCTTTACATCCCTGCCCGTGTCAGCGAACAATAGCTTGTGAAGAACAAAGGAACAGCAAAAGCAGTCCATATTTAGTCACAACAAAGATCTTTCTCAAAAATTAAACTATTACCAGTAGAGTATTTTAAAAACCAGTTAAAAGATAATAATCAATAGCATAAGAACAGGTCTAAAGCAACCTGCATTTCTCTTATATCATATATCATCACTGGGTTAAAGGATTGTGGAAAATTACATTTTAACTCATACTTAACTCTGTTGGAAACGTGAGTTCTCTCAGCTTGGGGGCACCGACAGAAGGGGATTGACAGGCACGTATTAAGACGGCCTACAGATCACTCTACCTGAGGGATCACATTCATAAAGCACCGTTGACAAATGAAGTAACAACAGGTGCTTGTTCAAAACACAACAGCCCAATGTTACAGGCCCCGGGGAAGGCTGGAATAATTTCTATTCCATGGGAAGGGGAACTGAGACACACGGATGGGTTGCGTGACTTACCCCAGGTGTCACAGAAAGTTAGTGGGTAAGCTGGAAACATAACCTAGGCCTCTTAACTTCCACTCCAGTGCTAGAGCGCCCGAAACATCAAGACAGAAAAACTGCAGAAGGGATTTAGTGTAGACGTTAGAAGGCTTTCCTGACTGCACAGGCTGTGGAAAACACTGGAATGCATGACCAAGAAAGACTGTGGAGTGCTCTGTTCTGGACCCTTTAAAAGCGGGCAAGCTGGGCGCGGTGGCTCACGCCTGTAATCCCAGCCTTCTGGGAGGCCACAGCAGGCAAGGAGGTCAGGAGACGGAGACCATCCTGGCTAACACAGTGAAACCCCGCCTCTACTAAAAATACAAAAAATTAGCCAGGTGTGGTGGCAGGCACCTGCAATCCCAGCTACTCGGGAGGCTGAGGCAGGAGAATCGCCTGAACCTGCAAGGTGGAGCTTGCAGTGAGCCAAGACTGCACCACTGCACTCCAGTCTGGGTGACAGAGCAAGACTCTGTCTCAAAAACATAAATAAATAATAAAAGGGGCAAGGCAGACTTAGGAACCATTCACAACCCTTCTTCTTGGTCCACATATAATCCTATAATACTTTGAAAGGCCCAAAAGTAGACATTAAAAAATATCAATTTTGCCTTTTTAATCACATACTAGATCAGGGTCAGGAAAGCAGGGCTCTTTGGCCAAATCTGGCCACGCCTAACTGTCCCATGTTTTCTGTGACTTATTTTGCTCTACAGAGCTGAGTAGTGGGGAGAGAGACTGGATGGTTTCCCGAAGTCGAAAATATTTACTCTCTGCCTCTTCATGGAAGGTTTGTCAACCCCTGCATTAGGGATCAGATAAGCTGAGGGGCACAAGACAACATTCCTCAGAACACATATTCCTAAAATAAAGTATCCAAGACAGGCTCAATACTTAGGGAAGCTTTATCCCAGGCAGAGGGGATGTCACGAGCTCTCACACCTCCCTAGCAGTGGTGAGATGTGAACGGCCCTTACCGGTATGACTCCAGGAAGGCAACACGCCTGGTAGAAGCTTATTGCCTTGACTTGCGCGACAGAACTATCGTCTTGGATGGAATAATTCGGCTCATACTCCTCTTCATTTTCACCACCATTAATTAATGGCCTGTGTGAGTCTTCTTCAAAGTTTTCTTCTGCCTCAATACCTGAGAGACCTAAAACAATAGCGACAGCCACTGTTTATGGAGAGACCACCACGTGCAAAGGGCTCGGCATACATCACTACTTATGGGGCGATGTTATTTTTATTTCCATTTTACAGAAACAGCAACGAAGTCCAGAGACCAAGGTCAACTAAGGTCAATTAAAGTCACACAGTCTGTCTAAAAATCCTGAAAAGATAGAAGAATTGTACATCTGTTTGCTTCTGTGGTTTCGCTTGTATGTAATCTGTATTTAAGTACAGGTATCATTTTTGTAAATCATTTTTATGGATGAAAAGAAATGTTTCAAGAAGTGAAATTAGAAATACATCCATGTTCATTCCTTGCCAGTGTCTCAATTATAAAAATCATTTGCAAATGCGAAGATTTTCCTGTATCTATAAAAGACGTGCATCACTCCCCTCAAACACGTCCAGCTGTGCCAGGGGCTGGCTACAATGTCGACAGGACTCAAACGGCAGTACTGTTCTCCTTTCACTCACTAAAAGGAGCTCAGAGTTTTCCTAGGAAAAAAGAGATTCGATTTCTTGGCCTCAGATTTCCTTTTGGCCATAATAGTAAGACATTCGGAATAGAAGGGACGGCTTCTCCTCACCAATTTCTTCTGGTGACACCAGGAGTCCAAAGAAGATAACGATCCCACCGGCAAACTGCACAGACGCCGTCACCAGAAAGGCATACTGGAGGAGAGGGGGAAAGGGGGTCCTTACATATCTGGGGACAGTCATCACAAGCATATTCAGTAAAGGCAGGTGTGGGGAGGCGGGGGTGGGGGAGAGGTGGGAAGGGAGACTGGGAAGCAAGGGAGCACCCAGTGCTTCTACTGGGCCAGGCGCTGTGCAAAGTGTTCTACTCGTGTTTTCTCATTTAATTCTTCCTGGTGATTCTATGAGGCTCAGAGAGGAAAATTAAGGTCCCCTGGATACTAAGTGGTACTATTATGGTTGTGAAATTAGACTAGCTCCAAAAATCTAGTTATTTGTATCACATAGCCTCCCATAAAAGACAGTATCTGCCCTCGAAGATATTACATACAGTTGAGGGGATTAAATACATGAAACAATATTATAAAGCACTATGTAGTTGAATAAATGAGAAGGCCCAATCCTACTGAGAAACATATACAGGAATCCAGACGAAGGAAAGAGCTGAAGAGGCTGAAGCAGTAAGACAATGTCTTAGGGAAGAATGGAAAATGAAAGCCAATTGTCCATCTTTCCAGGCACATGGTAAGCAAAAGCACAGGGTGGAAGGAGATAGAAAGCTTACTGCACGACTCAAGGAGAGGGCTTCTGTTAGGGTATAATAGGGAAGAAAACTGATTTGGAAAGGTGACAGGTAGATTAAAGACTCTCCATCCCCAGGCTGCACGGCTGAATTTTTATTTAACAGAGAATGGAGCCTGATGTGGACACACTGAATTTTTAAACCAGTGAGTGACAAAATTAAAGCAGTGTTGCCAGAAGTCAAATCTGAGAGCAGCACAGAAGGTGAACAGAAATTTTCATCTGAACCAACTACACAATCCAGGTGTGAGGCTAAGAAGCCTAGAATACAGGTGGCCATGAACAAAGGGAATGAAGGACTTCTCACTGACCCTAACTACACCAAAACTCTTGGTGAGCTGTTTAAAAATGTATCCACTTTTTAAAAGAGCAAACTTACTTTTAATAATTTAGGTTTTTGAGTAGGTGATATATTCACATGATTCAAGCAATAGAGGAATAAGATGTACAGTAAAGCTGGGCATGGCGGCTCATGCCTATAATCCCAGCACTTGGGGAGGCCGAGGTGGGCGGATCACCTGAGGTCAGGAGTTCGAGACTAGCCTGGCCAACATGGTGAAACCCCATCTCTACCAAAAATACAAAAATTACCCAGGCATGGTGGCATACACGCGTAATCCCAGCTACTCAGGAGACTGAGACAAGAGAATCCCCTGAACCCAAGAGGTTGCGGTAAGCTGAGATCACGCCATTGCACGCCATTGTCACACTCTGTGTGACAGAGTGAGACTCAGTCTTGGAAAAAAGAAAAAAATGTACAATAAAAACTCTCCCTCCTACCCCACCTTCTCTATCTGCTCAATTCTCCCAATTTTCCCAACATATAACCATTGCTGTTCATTTTTACTGCCCAGAAATCGTTTTGGAAACATACAAGCTAATACAAGCATATTCTCTTTCATTCTTCCTTCTTACAAAAACGGCATTCAATACAGTTTTGCATCCTTGCCGTCTTCACTTAGCACACTATTTTTTTTTTTTTTTTGAGACACAGTCTCGCTTTGTCACCCAGGCTGGAGTGCAGTGGCGTGATCTTGGTTCACTGCAACCTCTGCCTCTCAGACTCAAGAAATTCTCTGCCTCAGCTCTGGAATAGCTGGGATTACAGGTGCCCGTGACCATGTTTGGCTAATTTTTGTATTTTTAGTAGAGACGGGGTTTCACCATGTTGGCCAGGCTGGTCTCGAACTCCTGACCTTGTGATCCACCTGCCTTGGCCTCCCAAAGTGCTGGGATTACAGGCATGAGCCACCGCACCCGGCCCACTTAGCACACTTTTGAGATTGTTGCAGTGCACTGCTCTGCAACATTCTGGCATTATAAACAATGCCAAAATAAAGAACCTTGTAGATGTATCATTTGCATGTGTTTCAGTCTATTCATCTGTGTGAATAATTCCTGGAGGTGGAACTGCTCAGTGTGTGTAGCTGTAATTTTGATAAGATACTGCCTTTTTGATCCCTCCACGAGTTAGTGACTCTGTTAGTCTTTCGATTGTAATGCCTGTCTCTTCAGGTTCTTACAAGTACAACACGTTTTCAAACTTTTGGATTTTTACCAGTCTAATAAGTATATAGTTTTTCTCCCCCCACCTTTTTTTAAAACAACATAGCTTTAATTTGCATTTCCCTGCTAAGTTCTGTAAGAACAAGAGATTTTTGTCTCTTTTGGTCAGTTCTATATTCTAGTTCCAAGAGCACATATGGGGAGTTAAATATTTATTAAATGAATAAGCAGTGAGTAGAATATTTTACATATAGTTACAAGCCATTTCTATATCCTTTCCATAACTATACATTCAAATTCTGTATCTTTCTGTTGTTGGTCTTTTTCTTAAAATTCATGGATGCTCTTTACATATGAGGGGGATTAGCCTTTGTTTTTGGTGTTGTTTTTTTTTTTGAGACAGGGTCTTGTTCCATCACCCAGATTAGAGTGCAGTGGTGTGTCCTGGCTCACTGTACCCTCCAGCTCCCAGGCTCTAGCAATCAATCCTCCCATCTCAGCCTCCTGAATAGCAGGAACTACAGGCACACACCCCCACACTCAGCTAATTTTTTAGTTTTTTGTAGATACGAGGTCTTATTATATTGCCCTGGCTGGTCTTGAACTCCTGGGCTCAAGTGATTCTTCTACTTCAGCCTCCCAAAGTGCTGGGATTACAGGTGTGAGCCGCCATGCCTGACCCAGATTAGTCCTTTATCTGTAACATCAGTTGCAAATACTTCCCAACTGGTTATATGTCTTTAGGCTCTCCATAGTGTTTTTGTTATGAATAAATTTTTATATTAAATAATACTGTGGCCATTTAAAACTACGTAGAACTGTGTCTGGATAATTTTTATGTGTTTGAATATATCAGAAATGTGTCTACTTTTAATGAATATATCAAAAGGTTGTCTACTTTTTTTTTTAATTAATTTATTTTTGAATGGAGTCTCACTCTGTCACCCAGGCTGGAGTGAAGTTGTGCGACCTTGGCTCACTGCAACCTCTGCCTCCCGGGTTCAAGTGATTCTCCTGCCTCAGCATCCGGAGTAGCTGGAACTACAGGCATGCACCACCACACCCGGCTAATGTTTGTATTTTTTGAGTAGAGACGGGGTTTCACCATGTTGGCCAAGCTAGTCTCAAACTCCTGACCTCAGGTGATCCACCCACCTTAGCCTCCCAAAGTGCTGGGGTTACAGGTGTGAGCCACCATGCCCGGCCAGAAGTTTGACTACTTTTAATACAAGCCTTGCCCTATCCAGACACAGTTCTGCATAGTTTTAAATGGCCACAGTATTATTTAATATATAAAAAGCAACACACATGTGCAGACACACAGATAGAGAGAGAGAGAGCACGAGAGCTAGAAAACAACACCTACCTCATAACCATACTGAAGAACAGAAGAAGCTAGGCATGCTCCCAAAATGTTGCCCACAGAAGCACAGGCACTCCAGAGACCAAAAACAACTCCTCGTCTAAGATGGAAAACAGTGGGAGACAAAGGACCATGGTCAGAAGAGATACTCTGGGCAGTTCAAAATACAAAACAGCCAAAACAACCAAGGTGCATACTACCAAGACTAAACACGCTATTTAAAAAGTTTTTTAAAATACACTAAAACGGGCCAGGCACAGTGGCTCACGCCTGTAACCCCAGCACTTTGGGAGGCCAAGGCGGGCGGATCACCTGAGGTCAGGAGTTCGAGACCAGCCTGACCAATATGGAGAAAGCCTATCTCTACTAAAAATACAAAATTAGCTGGGCGTGGTGGCACATGCCTGTAGTCCCAGCTACTTGGAAGGCTGAGGCAAGAGAACAGCTTGAACCTGCAAGGCGGAGGTTGCAGTAAGCCGAGATCACGCCACTGCACTCCAGCCTTGGCAACAGAGCAAGACTCTGCCTCCCCCCACCCCCCAAAAAAGCTGTATCCAGAATGTAAGGCACTCTCAAAACGCAGTAAAATATGACAACAGACAATGCAACACAATGGTAAAAAGCATGAATCTACAATCATCTCAAAATACAAAGGCTTTGAAAAGTGGGCAAAAGATTTTAATAGATACTTCACACAAAAAAGTATGCAAATAAGCACATGAAAAAACACTCAATTGGCCAGGCAAGATGGCTCACGCCTGTAATCCTAGCCTTTAGGAGGCCTGAGGTGGGCAGGTCACTTGAGGTCAGGAGTTTGAGACTAGCCTGACCAACACGGTGAAACCCCGTCTCTATTAAAAATACAAAAATTAGCTGTGCATGGTGGCTGCACACCTATAATCCCAGCTACCTGGGAGGCAGGCAAAAGAATCACTTGAAACCAGGAGGCGGAGGTTGCAGTGAGCCGAGATCACACCACTGTACTCCAGCCTGGGTGACAGGGCGAGACCCTGTTTCAAAAACAAAACAAAGCAAAAATATTTTTAAAAAGATGCTCAAGTCATTAGACATGAGAAAAATGCAAATTAAAGTCACAATGAGATATCATTACACACCTATTAGAATGGCTAAAATCAAAAAACACCAAGCATGCCAAGTGCTGGGAAGGGCACAGAGTAATAAGAATCCTTATGCTGTGCTGATGAGAATGTAAAATGGTACAACTACTTTGGACTGCCAGTGTCTTAAAATGGTAAACGCACCCGGGCGTGGAGGCTCATGCCTGTAATCCCAGAGCTTTGGGAGGCCAAGGCGGGCGAATCACCTGAGGTCAGGAGTTCGAGACCAGTCTAACCAACATGGAGAAACCCTGTCTCTACTAAAAATATAAAAAATTAGCTGGGCATGGCGGCAGGCCCCTGTAATCCCAGCTACTCCGGAGGCTGAGGCAGGAGAATCACTTGAACCCACGAGGCGGAGGTTGTAGTGAGCGAAGATCACACCATTGCACTCCAGCCTGGGCAGTAAGAGCAAAACTCCATCATGGGAAAAAGAAAAAAAAGGGAAATACACACCTAACATATGATCCAGCCATTCTACTCCTAGGTATTTACCCAAGAGAAATGAAAGCATATGTCCACACATGGATTTGTACACAAATGTTCCCAGGAGCTTTATTTGTAATAGCCCAAAACTGAAAACAACCCAAATGTTCATCCACAGGTGAATGAATAAACATGAATAAATTTCTAATTATGCTGAATAAAAGAAGACACAAAGGCTGGGTATGGTGGCTCATGCCTGTATTCTGAGCACTTTGGGAGGCAAGGCAGAATAGCTGAGACCAGGAGCTTGAGACCAGCCTGGGCAACACAGACCCTTTCTTTACAGGAAAAAAAAAAAAGAGTACATACTGTATGAATCCATTTATATATAAAATTATAGCTGGGCGTGGTGGCTCACACCTGTAATCCCAGCACTTTAGGAGGCTGAGGAGGGCGAAATCACCTGAGGTCAGGAGTTTGAGACCAGCCTGACCAACGTGGAGAAACCCTGTCTCTACCAAAAATGTAAAACTAGCCAAGCGTGGGGGTGCATGCCTGTAATCCCAGCTACTCAGGAGGCTACAGCCGGAAAATTGCTTGAACCTGGGAGGTGGAGGTTGTGGTGAGTTGAGATCGCACTATTGCGCTGGGCAACAAGAGCAAAACTCCATCTCAAAAAAAAAAAAAATTAGCTGAACGTGGTGTTACACACCTGTAGTCCCAGCTACTCAGGAGACTGAGGCAGGAGAATCACTTGAACCCGGGAGGCAGAGGTTGCAGTGAGCGGAGATTGCCCCACTACACTCCAGTCTAGTGACAGAACAAGACTCTGTCTCAAAAAAAAAAAAAAGAAAAAAAAGCTACTTGAAGGTTTAGGGGAAAAAAGTACCCCACTTGATCAAGCCCCAAAGTCTGGCGTTCTTCATCTGAATCTAATTACAGCCCTTGTTACATGACCTTGGGCAGGTCACATGAATAACCTTTGACCTCAATTTCCTTATCTTTAATATAAAAAGGTTAAATAAGATCACTCTCAAAAATGGGCAGGGAAGGCAAAACCCAAAGGAAGATACACGACGGACAGCAAATGAGATTTTTATGTTCTCTAAAGAAATGATGAGTAAAATAAAAAATTGAGACCTCCTGACTTGGCCCACACTCAGAATCTGCCCACAGCCCAAAGAGTAGTAGGAATGTGTCTCCTGGGCCGGATCACTTCTAAAGCCCACACCATTTCCAACGCACACTGACGTGAAACTCTCTCTCCCTGAACTCCTCTGACTTGCTAATGAAAGATGTGGGTGATATCTAAGGCATCAAAGTAACTGACTTTGACAAATCTGAAAAATTCATCATGGAAACCACCTAAACAGAGAAATCAGAGAGGAAAGAAGTGGCATACCCGGCTTTCCCAAACCAGTTGCCCATAATAGCAACCACGCAGGGCCAACCGGTGGACTGCAGCAGGCCGTTCACAATCCACAGGCAGCAGTACAGCCATTTGTTGTAGAAACGCAGCCATTCTGTGAGCGTGCCAAAGACAAACACCTTGAAGAGGGGGAAACAAAAGGAATATGTAACAGCCACACTGAAACTTTCAGGGGATGCCACTCCACCCACTTGCTTCAGAGTAGAGACCACGTGAAGGATACACTCACACAGCCAGTGCCTGTAAGTCATGTGGCTGGCATCACAGGGGTCCTGCTCAGAACCACAGTGAGGAGGCAGCTGCCCAATCACTGCCCACCAGAGCGGAGGTGATGTCAAAGACACAAAGTCATTAAGCTATCAGCGCTCCAACTGACATCTTCCAAGACTAAAAAGTGAATTCCTCGTTTGACATCTATTTCCATCTCCTCACCCTCAGACTGTGCATGTGGAGGGAACAGCAACCTCCAGAGGGTTGCTGTGAGGATGGAATGAGCCCAGGGAGGCCACCTTCCCCGGAACAGTGCCAGGCGCCGCTCTAGGCAGAGGCACGGGGTGAGTGCCAGCCACTGTTATGGCTGCAGCTCCTGAGTTAATCAACGAAAGCGAAACCTATCGAACTTGTGATCTGCTGAATCATTTAGCAGCTTTCATCAAGCGGCTGCTTTTTTCCAGGCATTTTGCTCAAGTGGACATTTTATCTACAGTCAAACTCTATTTTGAGAATACTCTGCATGATTAAAAAAGTAGCATGTATAATACTGTCTGGTTCCAGTTATAAGACATTCTAGAATAAGCAAAACTGTACACAGAAAAATGATCGGGGGTTGCCAGGGGCTGGAGAAAGGAGGGGCAGTCACAAAACTACTTATTTGTTGAAAGTCTGAACAATATGCTTAAAAAGGGCAAGTTTATGTACAAACTGCAGTTTTTAAAAAATATATAAAAAGCAAAAAAGTCTGTACACAGGTTTTAAAATAATATGTTTATATGTGTGGGTGAGCAACTCATAAAAAATAAAGTGCTTCCATCTCTAAAATTTCAAGGGGAAAAAAAGGTTTTACTTACACTCAAATGACAAACACTGAAAAACAATAGTAGGCCAAATGCAGGGACTTGTTCCTCTAATTCCAGTGTTTGGCGAGGCAAAGGAGGGAGGATCACTTAAGGCCAGGAGTTCAAGGATCAACCTGGGCAATATAGTGAGACTCCATGACTAAAAAATTTAAAAATTGCTGAGCATGACAGTACACACCTACAGTCCCAGCTACTCAGGAGGCTAAAGTGGGAGGACTGCTCAAGCTTGGGAGTTCAAGGCTCTGGGATCACACCACTGCACTCCAGCCTGGGCAGCTAACTGAGACCTTATCTCTAAAAAAAAATAATAATCATAATAAATTACAGTCTAACTAAACTCCATGGTTTCATTTAATCAACAAAAATTCCTGACTAGAAGCTAGTAAACAATGACAATTAGTCAGATATAGAGGCCGGGCACGGTGGCTCACGCCTGTAATCCCAGCACTTTGGGAGGCTGGGGCAGGTAGATCACCTGAGGTCAGGAGTTTGAGACCAGCCTGGCCAACATGGTGAAACCCTGACTCTACTAAAAATACAAAAATTAGCCAGGCATGGTGGTGCACACCTGTAGTCCCAGCTACTCAGGAGGCTGAGTCAGGAGAATGGCGTGAATCCGGGAAGTGGAGGTTGCAGTGAGCCAAGATCATGCCACTGCACTCTGGACTGGGTGACACAGCAAGACTCCGTTTCAAAAAAAAAAAAAAAGAAAAGATTAGTCAGATATGGATCCCCCCCTACACAGCACTTGTTTCAAACCCCTCACATACAGAAACTCGCGGTCCTCACTGCCAGCCAGGGAGAGGTAATATGCGTATCTCCCTCTGAAGCTCACAGAAATCATAAGCTAGGAAACCACAGAAGAGAGACAGAAACCCAGGCTGTCCTGGTAAAGGGAATCTGTGATTTTAACCACTCCACGCCCACCCTAAGGGAAAGCAAGACTGAAACAGAAACAACCAAGCTAAGCAGCAGACTGTTTCAAGTGCCTACAAAGAAACCGGCACGGGAGCTCAGAAGAGAGACTGGCATTCTCAAAGAGGTGTCATTTGGCCAATGCTTGAAGGAGACTGTGAGTCGGACTACGGAGAGCTGAATAGGGGACCATCTGAGGCAGGCAGAACAGCAGGAACAAAAGCACCGAGATAGAAAGGAGCAGGATGGGGCTGGGCACGGTGGCTCACACCTGTAATTCCAGCACTTTGGGAGGCCTAGGTGGGCGGATCACCTGAGGTCGGGAGTTCGAGACCAGCCTGATCAACATGGAGAAACCCTGTCTCTACTAAAAATAAATAAATCAGTCAGGTGTGGTGGCATATGCTTGTAATCCCAGCTACTCGGGAGGCTGAGGCACGAGAATTGCTTGAACCCAGGAGGTGGAGGCTGTGGTGAGGCAAGATCGCACCATTCCATTCCAGCCTGGGCAGCAAGAGCGAAACTCCATCTCAAAAACGAAAATAAAAAAAAGAAAGGAGCAGGATGTTAGTGGCCTGGAAAACAGTCCAGCTTGGCTGGAGCAAAGGGATGAAGCAGAGTGACAAATACCATGGGAAGGCAGGCTGGAGCCAGGGTCTAGCAAATGCCAGGCCATTTATTCAGACTACTGATTAACTCTGCTGGTGCCTGAGGGACAACAAAGGGACCTGATTAGAATCTTACCCTAAAAAGACTCATCTGGCCAGGCACAGTGGCTCACGCCTGTAATCCCAGCACTTTGGGAGGCCGAGGCAGGAGGATCACTTGAGGTCAGAGATGAACTTAGCCAACATAGTGAAACCCATCTCTACTAAAAATACAAAAATCACCCGGGCGTGGTGACTTGCATCTATAGTCCCAGCAATTCAGGAGAATCACTTGAACCCAAGAGGCAGTGGTTGCAGTGAGCTGAGATCGCACCACTGCACTCCAGCCTGGGGTAACAGAGCAAGACTCTGTCTCAGAAAAAAAAAAGACTCATCTAAGTGAAAAGGAAAATGAGGGATTCGAACACTGAGGATTAATCTTACTATTCTATTCTACAGAGAAGTAGGGGGATTCCTTGGATTCTAAAATACCTGACCAAAATAATAATAAGACCTTTTCAACTTACCACGAATGCAGAAGAGCACATGCCGAAAGACAGAACCCACCGCAAATTCAACCGATCCCCAACGATGCCACTGATGAAAAGGCCCTGAAAATAAAGCATATTCTTTTACAGCTCTCAATAATAACACAGTATGAAAAAGTAATATGTACTGCAAAGCAAATGAGACAAACGCAGACATTATTTAAAATTAACCCTTATTCACATGCCTAGGCTAGCTGTCTACAGGAGTTTCACAAACGTTTCATGAAATGGCAGTGGGCTGGATAACAAGGTCAGTGATGAAGTGAAAACAAAAAAGTTATGAAAATAGAAGGAAAAAATATTAAAAAAAAAAAAAAAAGGAAATGGCAGTGGGCTTCTGCATACTCTACCACAAACACACCAAAATTCAGGGCAAACTTTGGTTTTACTTGATTCCCTAACTGGAAAAAAATAAATAAGAATGACTCTAATGAAACAAGCACACAAATATATTCCATTTTCTAGACTAGATTAATTCCTGCCCATCAGTGATAAGCTCTCCCAAAGGGATTCCTCTTAGCCATCTGCACTCTGGGTTAACATGTGTTACCACACGCCCTGCAGTTTCAGTTCCAAACTTGTAAAAAGTGGAATAGAAGGTTCCAGGGCACACTAGCTGCCTGCTGAATCTGACCCTTGGGTTTCATGACATCCCAAGGCAGGGAGAGCAGGAAGGCAGAGACAATAATTAGTTGGAGACAGGTTCTGCCTTCTACTCTCCTCCCACTGAGGGGCAGGAATTAAAATGTTGAGATCATGGCAGGAAGTGAGACTGAAGACCTTAAGGGCAGCAGACTTTAGGTTTCTTCCATAAATATTTAAAATGTCTTGACTTAAAACCTAAATTCAGTTAGGACCAGGTGTTTCTGATAAATTGAGTATCTCTACATCATTAGAAAAACTTGGCTGGGCGTGGTGTCTCACGCCGGTAATCCTAGCACTTTGGGAGAGGGGAGAATTGCTTGAGGCCAATAGTTCAAGACCAAACTGGCCAACAGAGCAAGAACCCATCTCTAAAAAAAAAACATGACCAAGTGCAGTAGCTCACACCTGTAAACCCAGCACTTTGGGAGGCCGAGGTGGGTGGATCACCTGAGGTGAAGAGTTCAAGACCAGCCTGACTGACATGGTGAAACCCTGTCTCTACTTAAAATAGAAAAATTAGCCATGCACGGTGGCGCGTGCCTGTAATCCCAGCTACTCGGGAGGCTGAGGCAGGAGAATCACTTGAACCCAGGAGCCGGAGCTTGCAGTGAGCCAAGATCGCGCCACTACACTCCAGCCTGGGCGACAGAGTGAGACTCCATCTCAAAAAAAAAAAAAAAATGAGAAGATAAAATTTAAATATGAATGTTTCTCCCTCATTATCATCAAGCTTCCTCATTCTTAGAGAACCATGTCAGCCTTAAAGTAGATTCTATGTTGTCTAGCTGCCCCTCACATGGACTTATGCTACACAGAACAAAAGGGACGAAGAAAATCTCAATTCTGCTTCAGATGACGTAACAATACATGCTTTTTTTTTTTGAGATAGAGTCTCACTCTGTCGTCCAGGCTGAAATGCAATGGTGCGATCTTGGCTCACTGCAGCCTCTGCCTCCTAGGTTCGAGCGATTCTCCTGCCTCAGCCTCCGGAGTAGCTGGGACTACAAATATGCACCGCCATGCCTCGCTAATTTTTGTATTTTTAGTAGAGATGGGGTTTCACCATGTTGGCCAGACTGGTCTCGAACTCCTGACCTCAGGTGATCTGCCCACCTCAGCCTCCCAAAGTGCTGGGTGGGATTACAGGCGTGAGCCACCGTGCCCCGCCAGAATCAATACATTCTGTTTTGCTGCAGAAAGCAAAGTGACCCTAAGTTACAGAAGGAAGTACAGCTCAACATAAAAAACCATGACCATTGATTTTTCATGGCACTGATCTTTTATGTCCTAAATCTATTTATTCCTCTAGATGACTCTATAGATGAGGAAACTAAATACCAAAAAAGGTTAAGTTCTACTTTGCAACCAAGTTTAACACAGCTAGTTAATCATGGCAGAGCTGGCCTTTCCAGTAGACTGCACTGCCTCTTAAAATGGTCCCTGAAGGAAATGAGTGGCTCAAAGAGAAGCAAGCACCCTGTCACCAGCTCTAGCCAAAGCCCAGTGCCCCTATCTGGGGATTTTATACAGACTAAATGAATGACCAAAGAACCATTCCAACTGTTTCTCTGTTTCCTCTTTGAAGAAAAGATACTCTTCATAATTAAACAAATAGGCTGGGCGTGGTGGCTCATGCCTGTAATCCCACCCAGAACTTTGGGAGGTTGAGGCGGGCGGATAATTTGAGGTCAGGAGTTCGAGACCAGCCTGACCAACATGGTAAAACCCCGTCTCTACTAAAAATACAAAAAAAATTAGCAGGGCATGGTGGCACATGCCTGCAGTCCCAGCTACTCGAGAGGCTGAGGCAGAAGAATTGCTTGAACCCAGGGGGCGGAGGCTGCAGTGAGCCGAGATTGCGCCACTGCACTCCAGCCTGGGCGACAGAGCAAGTCTGCATCTCAAAAAAGAAATAATAAATAAAATTAAATAAATAAATAAATAAATAAAAATAATTAACCAAATAAACATTTAGAAACTACTTCAGGACCTTTACCCAGTATTTCACATTGCCTGAATATTGAGAATTAAAAGGCGTTTTTAATAAGGCACACTTAGAGACAGAAATAAGGCACACTTAAAGACAGCATCTTATATGCTGGGGAGAAAAGGTCCACGTTCCAGCTGCTGCCACCGTCGGCTCCAGAACTCTAATGTGGGAGCCACCACAGCCATTCCTACAGCAAGCCAGAGATGCCAGCTGCCTAACCTTATGCTGAATTACTCCTCACCACCGTGGAATGTCTCCCAGGATGCTACCTCTCCAGGATCCCGCCTTCCTTTTTTTTTTTTTTTTGAGACGGAATCTCATTTTGCCATCCAGGCTGGAGTGCAGTGGCACAATCTCGGCTCACTGCAACCTCTTCTTTCTGGGTTCAAGCAATTCTCCTGCCTCAGCCTCCCAAGTAGCTGGGACGACAGGCACCCATATCTGGCTAATTTTTGTATTTTTATTGGAAACGAGGTTTCTTCATGTTGGCCAGGATAGTCTCAAACTCCTGACTCCAAGTTATCCACTGGCCTCGGCCTCCCAAAGTGCTAGGATTACAGGCGTGAGCCACCACACCCAGCCCCGCCTTCCTTACCACTCCATCCCCGCCACCTGGCCCATTCCTCACCCACCTCTGAGGACTGGAAGCCCTAGGGTTTAGGCTTCACACCTCTTCCCTGCCCTCGCCTGTTCCCTTGATCAATTCATGCAGCTTCACAGTTTTGATCTATAAATCATCTAAAAGGGAAGGCGCGATGGCTCATGCCTGTAATCCCAGCACTTGGGAGGCCAAGGCAGGCAGATCGCCTGAGGTCAGAAGTTCGAGATCAGCCTGACCAACATCTCTACTAAAAAAATGCAAAATTAGCCAGGCATGGTGGTGGGTGCCTGTAATCCCAGCTACTCGGGAGGCTGAGGCAGGAGAATTGCTTGAACCCGGGAGGCGGAGGTTGCAGGGAGCCGAGATCGTGCCATTGCACTCCAGCCTGGGTGACAAGAGCAAAACTCTGTCTCAAAAATAAAAAATAATAAAAATAATAAAGGCCAAGGATGTGTATCTTCAGCCTGAACCTACACCTTGAACTCCGACTCAATGCCCAAGCGCCTGCTCTTCATCATCTGGGCAGTAGTGGTAAAATGTAATGCATCCAAAAGCGAGTCCTCAAATCTTTCTATCTCCCCAGTTTCCCCTCCGCCATGACACTTCCACCCTGGAGGTGTTCTTCACACATTTCTCTTACATTCCACATTCAAGGGGGAAAAAATATTGGCTTTACCTCCAACACACTACTAAAATCTACTTTCCCGCAACCTCTGTTACTGCTATGCTGGACCCAAGCCACCATCATCCTTCACCTCCAAAGAACTCAGCTCCCAGAGCAAGTGCGCCTGTCCAAACCTAAGTCAGGTCCTGCTGCTGCTCTGCACAAAACCTTCCAGCAGCTCCCATCGCACTCAAGGTTAAAGCCAAAGCCCCTACAAAGGCACCAAAACCCTACAGATCTGAGCCCCGCCACATCTCTGGCCTCACTTCTTACAGCTCTGATCCAAGCACACCGACCTCACTCACCTGCTTGGGTCTTCACTCAAATGCCCGCTGCCTCCTGAAGTCTCCCAGCTATGCTACTTAAAATTACAACCTCACTCAGGCCCCTTTAGTCCCCCTTCTCTGCTTTATTTTCCTTCATTGCACTTATCACCTTCAAATGTACTCTACAATTTATTTATAGCATTTGGTGACTGTCTCCCCAAGCTCCCCACCGAAGAACACAGGCTCCATCAAGGCAGGGCATTTTTGCGTTGTTCAGGATAAATTCCCATTGACATGTGCTACATGAGCAATAAATATATGTTGAATGAATTAATAAATGAATGAGAAGAATAAAAAATATAAACTTCAGAAATACTGAACTCTGCCTCGGTCAGCAAATTCAAAATCCCTTACGCATTTCGTAAGGCTCAGCGTTGTTTCCTTTTACATTTTTCTTTACCTTTAAACCCTAGAGTTCTAAAACTTACCACAGCATAGGAGAAGAGGAAAATGGTATCCAGTGTTCCGAGGAAAAGAGTCGCTTTCTCTGCACTGGGGAACAAATGGTTGCTGCTCCAGATCTGCAGTAAGACAGCAGGAACGGGTCAGTCCCTGCGGAACCTGCTAGGCCTTTTTGTTTCCCAAATCCCCTTCACAAACACTTCCAAAACAGCGGCAATGCTCAAGACCTACTTTTACTTCAAACGCATTCAGAAATGACTAGTATAGCCGGGCGCAGTGGCTCACACCTGTAATCCCAACACTTTGGGAGGCCGAGGCAGGCAGATCACCTGAGGTCAGGAGTTCGAGACCAGCCTGACCAACATGGAGAAAGCCCATCTCTACTAAAAATACAAAATTAGTTGGGCGTGGTGGCACATGCCTGTAATCCCAGCTACTTGGGAGGCTGAAGCACAAGAATTGCTTGAACCCGGGAGGCGGAGGTTGCGGTGAGCAGAGATCGCACCATTGCACTCCAGCCTGGACAACGAGAGCAAAATTCGGTCTCAAAAAAGAAAAGAAAAGAAATAACTAGTATTTTTTTTTTTTGCTTTTATGATTTTTAATTGACGCATAATAACTGTACATATTGGCCAGGTGCGGTGGCTCAAGCCTGTAATCCCAACACTTTGGGAGGCCGAGACGGGTGGATCATGAGGTCAGGAGATCGAGACCATCCTGGCGAACATGGTGAAACCCCGTCTCTACTAAAAAAGTACAAAAAAGCTAGCCGGGCGAGGTGGCGGGCGCCTGTAGTCCCAGCTACTCGGGAGGCTGAGGCAGGAGAATGGCGTGAACCCGGGAGGCGGAGCTTGCAGTGAGCCGAGATCCGGCCACTGCACTCCAGCCTGGGCGACAGAGCGAGACTCCGTCTCAAAAAAAAAAAAAAAAAAAAAAATTGTACATATTAAGGGAGTACAGTGTGATATTTCAACATATATTCAACATGTAATGATCAAATCAGGGCAATTAACCTATCACCTCAAACATGTATCATTAGAATGCCCAAACGCTAGTGACTAAGTGAATTAAGTAAGAAAGTGGGGCAGTAAGTTTAAAAGCAGACATTTAGAAGAAATATATTCTGATTATAATCTTTTTGTTTGGTAGAATTCAATATCCAATCAATTAGAAATTATGCCTACCATCTAGGGCCATACCACCCTGAAAGCATGCAATCTCATCTGATATAGGAAGTTAAGTGGGGTCAGGCCTGGCTACTACTTGGATGGGAGAAATTAAGTCTAACTCCATCTAAGGAAACATTTTACAATACTCTTTAAAAATAATTTCCTACTGATCAGTGGTTGCCTAGGGCTGAGGGAAGCAAGAAGGGCTGACTAACAAGGGGTAAAGAGAATCTAGGGGGTGATGTTCTATATCTTGGAATAGTTACAACACTATATGTGTTATCAAAAACTGTAGAACTGTATACTGAAAAGGTAATTATAAATCACATCTTGATTTTTAAAATGAAAAAAAGTGTCCTTCATTAACCTACTTCAATCAAATCACAATGTCTTGCCAACTTTATTATCTTTCTAGTCTGGTACTCAGAAAACTTATAATTCCAACTCTATGCCTAAGAATTTGTTGCGCTACAGGAGAATGGTGTGAACCCAGGAGGCAGAGCTTGCAGTGAGCCGAGATCGTGCCACTGTACTTCAGCCCGGGCGACAGAGCAAGAGTCTGTCTCAAAAAAAAAAAAAAAAAAAGAATTTGTTGCCCTAGAGAGGCCACTTATCCCAATACTTCTCAGCTTCTTCATAGGCACACATAGAAAACGATCTTTGTACAACACACTGGGGTAAACTGAAGATGATGTTCAAGGTCAGAGCTGATTGGCCTGGGAATATCCACCAGTCTAAAATCAGGAGGAGACTATCCCAAGCCCCACCTAGCAACCCCAGGAGCTTAGGGAAGGGAGATCGCATCTCACCTACAACCCATTCACGACAAAACAGCTGAGCAGCTCTCAGAGTACCTCAGTGGCCAGTCTGTAGAACCACAAAACGAGTTAAGTTCTATTTTTATTTATTTTTTTATTTTTTTGAGATGGAGTCTCACTCCATTGCCCAGGCTGGAGGGCAGTGGCACGATCTTGGCTCACTGCAACCTCTACCTCCTGGGTGCAAGGGATTCTCCTGCCTCAGCCTCCCTCAGCTAGGATTACAGGCACGTGCCACCATGCCCAGATGGTTTTTGTATTTTTAGTAGAGATGGGGTTTTGCCATGTTGGCCATGCTGGTCTTGAAATCTCGACCTCAAGTGATTTGCCAGCCTCCACCTCCCAAAGTGCTGAGATTACAGGCATGAACCACCGCACCCAGCCGAGAGCTAGGTTCTTTCTAACTGCAAAATGCCATGTATGATTCTGCAGGATGTTTATATTCTTCAGCTGTGTTGAAATGAATCCAGCTTTTTAAATTCCTTTAGGATAAGAACCAAGTCTTACACATATTTATACAGGGTCTAACAGTGAAAATAACCCATGGTTATTTTGTCAGTATCTTTTGTAATGAATTAAATAATGTCCATTCATTTTCATTTTAAAGAAAGATGAGCAGGATATACAAAACCAGGCCATGAGAGGAACCACTGAAGGAAATGGAAATATAAATTTATGCTGAAAAAGAGAGACACAGGCGATCTGTGAAAAGTTATCCTCAACTTTATGAAGGGCCAGAGGTGGAAAAAAGATCTGAGTTAGTGGCCGGGCGCGGTGGCTCAAGCCTGTAATCCCAGCACTTAGGGAGGCCGAGACGGGCGGATCACGAGGTCAGGAGATCGAGACCATCCTGGCTAACACGGTGAAACCCCGTCTCTACTAAAAATACAAAAAACTAGCCGGGCGAGGTGGCGGGCGCCTGTAGTCCCAGCTACTCCGGAGGCTGAGGTAGGAGAATGGCGTAAAAAAAACCCGGGAGGCGGAGCTTGCAGTGAGCTGAGATCCGGCCACTGCACTCCAGCCCGGGCTACAGAGCAAGACTCCGTCTCAAAAAAAAAAAAAAAAAAAAAAAAGATCTGAGTTAGTTTACAGAACTTTCAAAAACGTAATGGGCTGCTTCACGGTGTAGTGAATTTCCCCCACAATAGACATCCCTGTGGGAAACGGGAAGGTAATTTCTCAAAGATACAGAAGGGGTTCTTCAACAGGATGGGAGATGGACCAGATCTCTCATCCTGTTGGGCCCTCCAACTGTGGTCCACGGAACTCGGGTAGACGGAGAACCCTCCAGAGCCTTCCTCCAAGGGAGTCTGCGAGGTCAAAATTATTTGCACCACATTAAAATGCGATGTCCTTTCGACTTTGTTCCCTTTTGCACTGGAGAGAAACTGCCGCACCTTAGCATAAACCAAGGTAATAATGCCAAACAGCACTAGTATTCACCATGTTTCTCACTGCAACATCCTCACAATAAAAAACCAAAAAAAGATTTTAAAAAGCCAATGTCAGCTGGGCTGGGCAGCTCACACCTGTAATCCCAGCACTTTGGGAGGCCCAGGAGGGTGGATCACTTGAAGTCAAAAGTTCAAGACCAGCCTGACCAACATGGTGAAACCCCATCTCTGCTAAAATCATAAAAATTAGCCCAGTGCAGTGGCAGGTGCCTGCAATCCCAGCTACTCAGGAAGCTGAGGCAGTAGAATTGCTTGAACCTGAAAGGAGGAGGTTGCACTGAACTGAGATTGTGCCACTGCACTTCAGCCTGGGTGACAGAGTGAGACTCTATGTCAAAAAAAAAAAAAAAAGCCAGTGTCACATAAGACTGTCCTTCACGAAGCAATAAAAATTTTTAATTTTATAAACCATAGGTCCTTGAGTAAAATAATTTTTCTTTTTCTTTTTTTTTTTGAGACACAGCCTCACTCTGTCGCCCGGGCTTGAGTGCAGTGGTGCGATCTTGGCTCACTGCAACCTCTGCCTCCCGGGTTCAAACGATTCTCCTGCCTCAGCCTCCTGAGTAGTTGAAATTACATGCCACCATGCCCGGCTAATTTTTGTAATTTTAGTAGAGACGGGGTTTCACCATGTTGGTCAGGCTGATCTCGAACTCCTGACCTCATGATCTGCTCCCCTCGGCCTCCCAAAGTGCTGGGATTACAGGAGTGAGCCACTGCGTCCGGCCAATAATTTTTCATATTCTGTGTCACTAAGTAGAAAGTCTGCAAGAATCACTTCTGATACCAAAGTAGCTAGAACGTATTTTGACTTGAAAGACTGACTGAGAAACTAGTTACTCAGATTTGAGTATTTGGCAGGGATTGCCTCAGACATGAATGAAATGAGCCTGTCACTTTAAAGATCCAAAGAACAACACAGACCAATGGATCTTAATGTAAGAGTATTCCAAAGTGCATTGATACAGTTTCAGATTCCATCACTGGAAATAATTTTTAAGAAATTATCACTTATCCAAATTTTGCTGTAGTACCAAAGACAAATGAACATCCACAACTAGCTGAAAAGGCTACAAAAACACTTCCCTCTTTTCTAACTTCAAACCTGTGAAAAGGCCAAATTTTCTTCCCATATTTCAAAGAATTTTTTTTTTTGAGATGGGGTCTCATTATGTTGCCCAGGCTGCTCTTGAAATCCTAGGCTCAAGCAATCCAGTATTAGCTTCCTGAGTATGTGGGACTACAGACACACTCCACCATGCCCAGCTACAGATCTTTGAATAGGCCAGGCGCGGTGGCTCAACCCTGTAATCCCAGCACTTTGGGAGGCCGAGATGGGCGGATCACGAGGTCAGGAGATTGAGACCATCCTGGCTAATACGGTGAAACCCCGTCTCTACTAAAAAATACAAAAAAACTAGCTGGGTTAGGTGTCGGGTGCCTGTAGTCCCAGCTACTCAGGAGGCTGAGGCAGGAGAATGGCGTAAACCCGGGAGGCAGAGCTTGCAGTGAGCTGAGATCCGGCCACTGCACTCCAGCCTGGGCGACAGAGCGAGACTCCGTCTCAAAATAAAAAAATAAAAAAGATCTTTGAATAAACTCTGCAACACACTGAATTCAAAAGAGACATGAAACCCCACTATCTCCTATTAACAGACATGAAGTGATGTGCAAAACT